ATTCTCTTCTCTTCTTTCTCCTTATATCTTCAAAAAAAAAAAAAAAAAGAAAAAAAAAGAAACGAACACCGACATCATATCGAGGAAAACGTTCATACGTGTTTCGTCACTTTCTCAATGTCCACTTTTTATGACCACTTCCTTTTCGTGATCATTTTTCAGATGATACGAAAAATATACACGTTTCGGATACAAAAGTCTCTCAGGCGCGTACAATTAATAAATACAAATTTGTTAATTGCGCTTATGTAAATAATAATATCTACTTATTCTTTAAACCCTTTAATTTACACATTATTCTAAACATGGACGAAGCTATCGGCTCGCATGAAATCGAGTTACTCTTTTTTTTTTTTTTTTTTTTCTTTAATTAATTCGTTTTACCCCCTTCCGTACTGTGTTTCTTCTTCTCGCCCTCGAATCGTGAAAAATATATATATATATTCTTCTCTTTATCCACATCTCTTATCGCAACGCACGAAACTTATTTAAAAACTTTCGATACGCGGGGAATAATTATCACCGAAATCCACGAGGATTGAAGGATTATTCTTAACAACATACCATATATATATATATATATATATGTATATGTATATGTATATATATATATATATATACCAATGTCACGCACAGAATAATTCATTTCGTTTCGTTCGTTCGATATGTCGTATGACATATGTATTCGTACAATTTGTAAAAACTGTCGAAATAAAAAAGAAGAAGATTTCTATATATAATATGCAAACCGTTATACAACAAACACGACAGATGGAAGTTTACAGATGCAAAACGCAAGAAAGAAAACAAAAGAGGAAAAAAAAAAAAAAAAAAGAAAAGAAAATAGGAGATAAAAGATTGAATTAAGGACAAAGGAATATTTAAATTAACGCTTGAATTATTTAAATTAATATGAAAAATGTTATAACCCTTAATTATCGCGGCCCGTTAAGCGGTGACCGCGGCTAAACGCGCGTTTCCGGTTCTTTTACCTCAAGTCCACAAGCCTCGCGTCATCCAGTCAGTAAAATGAACAGGACGTCTAGGAAATAAACTTCCTACGGCAGAAATTGAAAAAAACAAAGGATTAGGTTTTTTGTCGATTTTTTAAACGATTTTTATTATCATCGATCGAGACTACCAAATTAAAAAGAGAAAAAAGACAATCAACTTATTCTGTACGTGTTTTTTTCTCTCTCTCTCTCTCTCTCTTTCTCTCTCTCTATCTCTCTCCTATCTCTAATGATTCGTCGCGAAATAATTAAAGAAAAAAATATTAGCAAATATTCTGATTCTTTATCACTGATTCGAGGTAAAAATTTTCCTCTTGTTCTAATTTTTCTTTGTATTGAATCAAATGAAAAGGGAGGAAATGAAAAAAAGAGAACGGCGTCAAAAAAAATTAATAAGTCACGTTTCTGAAGTACTTGATCGCTTCTTGTCACTAATTCTAGAACGAAGACTTTCAATGGATCGATACGATTAAAAAATTCTTAAATCTAAAGCTTACAACACCCACGATCATCTTGGACGAACAAATTAATCACTAATACGTCCATGTTATTATCTTCTCAACGGTTTAAAAAATAACATTCGTTCAAGCTCCTCATTATGGAAATTGTTCCTGTTCTTCTTATTTCTCATTCGCAAAACGAAAAAACAAATTCTCGACCGACCTGATCGAAGCTTTTTTACGCATAATTACGAATCGTCTTCTTCTTCTAAGAAAAAGAAAAAGAAAAAAAAAAAAAAAAGAAGATTAATTCGACAGATCGGTCAACACAGCCTGGTCAAAATCGATCGTATCAATTCTTAGGCATCTTCTTGTCGTAACCTTAAAGCGTATACACTAGTTTTTATCACTAGTTGTAGAGAAACAGCATCGAATCACAATCTTCTTTGCGCCGAGGTCGAAGCTGAAGTTTCGTTGACCGCGTGTAAGAATTGATCCTCGATTCCTCCTTTGTCTCCTTCTTCCCTTCGAACGATCTCTCACCACATCTTCACAAACATTTCATCTTTCGATCCACCAATACTCCTCCTCCCTCCGTCTCTCCAAATATCTTGCAGAGTCCGGCACAGTAACAAAATCTCCGGGGACCTTTTTCGTCGCTCTTTCGACTCGAATCGCAAAGAGAACAGCGAAAGGACACAACAGCTTGCCGTTTCGAAATACGTTTCACACGCTCGCTCTGTATGCGATCGCTCCGCCATTCCTCTCAAGCCCACGTTCCAC